CGTTAAGTGTTATCACGAGAGAAACGTTTTTAACGTAATCAGTCGTTCAATTACGAAATCGCATAAATACATAATAATGATTGATATTCACTCTCGCGAGAAATATTTTGATCGTAATGACTGGTAATGGGATCATCGCATTTGCAAAGTAGATTAGCTAACTGTAGATTTTTATTTCTACGCTGATTGCACGTGTTTTCCCGCGGCAAAAAGTTCGAGGAAACAAGCGAACGTCCGTGAAACGAGAATAGTAGGCTAAAAAAAAAAAAAAAGATATTGCTCGATCGAATGTCAATGAAAGAAGAAAACGTTTAATCTTCTACACGTGTCGCCGCAACGTTGTTGTAATACAATTTCAGCGTATAATGCACTGCACTTTGTACGCGCAAACTGAATTATTACAAGGACATAACAGTTGAACATTAATGCGCGTTGTAAATCGTAATTTTCGCGTGCGCTGTGAAATTCATGGGATTAGGAAATTCTCGGCAGATAATTAGGATTTTATGCGCGGACGATGGTGTTCTCTCTTCTAACGGGGCGTGTTACGAAATAAGGAAAGTTTTCTGGACTCTGGTCCTCTCTCGCAAAGGGTTTACGAGTCGCTGGTCTTTTGGCGAGTTTCCAATCGTTTTCGTCCGTGTCGGCGGAATATCCCGGGTACGAGTGTTTTCCTCGTCGGCCGCGTTAATAAGCGGACGCTGCTCGCACATTACCGGAAATTAAGCGTGCGCGCAGGCGCCTCCCGTTCGGGTTCAAAGGTTACGTAAACCTTTCGATCGCGTGCGTTTCAAACGCACGCACGCACGCACAGCGTCGTTGACGCTATATTTAGAACCGACGGCGATATTTCCCTTTTCCCGATTTTTACGTTTTCTGTTTATTCTCAACGCTGGAAGTTACGCTCGAGAATGACCAGTTTGCCAATCTTTGTAAAATTCCATGCACGCGAAACAATGTACCATTTACTATAAAGTTCTTCTATCTTTCCCCGATGAGGATCTTTCGCGAAGGTTTAATCGTCGATAGTTGTTGCGTTTTCTCTTCGGTCAAAATGGAGGAGCGATTTTTCACCTGTTTTTGACAGACGAAGGCTCTAGAATCTGGAATAGAGCCGGGAATTTGCAAGGCTGGCTGGCAAGTCGGTCCATAAATCAACTGCTTCGGCTACTTCGGAGTACTTCGTTCCACGACAGTGTTCACTCCTTAGAAGCCAAGAACTCACCACGTTCGACAACGTGTACGTTTGTTGCAATTTGATTGGCGAACGAAGTATCTCGAAAGGATAATTCGTCAAGGGTTCTGGTTCGATCTGATCGAATTTGCGAAACGAATATGTAAGTGATATTTGTATATATTGAGAAACTGAACGTTAATCTATTTCAAATCACGAGTGTCGAGTATTAATGTCGATTCGAATGATAAACACCGTATAATCAAGGGCTTTCACGCCACATCTCGCACGCATACGTTCCGTTAAGGTATCAATCGCAGCGTTATACCGCGAGATAATATAATACCCGATGTAATTCCATGAGCGCGTTTAGATCTGCCGAATAATTCGCTGTGGAAGCGTTTCGATCACGCCTGATAATCGGTTCGTACGTATGCATCGTTTCATCGAAGAACACCGTCGTTAATTTCGTATAAAAATTCGACAGATTTGCAACCGCAAGTTCAATGGTTCAATACTTTCGTTCTTCGAACTTCAACTCGAAGCTCTGCGATTTGTCGTGAATATACTTGCGGAAGTATAGATAGAGAGAGGTAGTGAAAATTCACGCATCTCTCCTTCCGTTCGAAGGACAAGACCAAGTCGCTGACTGACTTGTCGGTCACGCGCCATACTCGAACCCGGTGTCTCAATGAAAGCTGAACTTTCGATCGCGATAGCCGACAATCAAACACGAGCTCATACACGAGGAAGAATAGAATAGAATCGCGAATTATTCATATCGGCGGATCAGCAGCCTGGGCTGGTTTTCCACGCGCAGAAGTCGCACGAGTCACCAGGGGGAATGTCTGTCGGAATGTTATTCGTGTC